CGAATATAGAAAGTCTTTTACCTGGTTTTATAGTGCCATAAGAATATTTTGAAGACGGAAAGTCATGCTATCTCCGCTGTCGAATAACGCATTCCGATTTTGAGATATCTGAAAGCGAAAGTATACCGGAACAATTTTATACTTTTTCCGATCTGAAGATTCCCATGTACGGGAAATCGCATAAATTTCTACTGAGATGTTACCATACAATGTGCCGTACTAAACCTCCAATGCGTGTTACATAGAAACAAGATGACAGTGAACATTTGTACACCTGTTCTTGTTCCCTGGAGTTTCTGTCGCGTCAATTGCATAGCCGATAGCGATGCCTTCTGACAGTTTTCTTTTTTCTTCTCTTCTCCCCTGAATTCAACTCATATATTTATAGAAATTCTTCGGTTTATATCTTTCTCTGATTCATCCGCTTGCTATTATTATTATAATGCTGTTTGAAATGGCCGTAAACTTTCTAACATAAAGTACTCCAGATACAAAAATTATGCTAGAAATTGTTGAGATATTGTATATCTGTAATGAGTGAAATTCTTGAAAAAGTTATATCGAGAATTTAAAAAATTATTTTCCTCGTATTTAAATAAAATTGTGAATATTATAAAACAAATATATCAGTATATAGGATAATTTAAAAATCAAAATTTTAAATATTTTAATACATCGCAATATTTATTTTATTTATTCAATACTATAAATATTTGTATTTCAAATACAAATTAATCTAGCAATTTTCCAATTGTATTTATTTTGCTGTTTTGTTTTTTAAATTTCGATTTGCCTGTATTTGTTTTAGACAAAAAATGTTAGTTTTAGGCACTTTTATGCTTAATTAAAATTTAAAAAATGATTAATTAGACTTTGTATGGGTCAGCTGATTGAATGCACATAAAAATTCTGTATATATTGTTTATTCTGCATTAAATTGAAATATTCTTAATATTTCTTTTGTAAATTATTTATTATTTTAACCGAATCTTTCTAGCGAAGTTGTAAAAGTTTTTTGCTTGTTTACACTATAAATGACTGTACTGAGAAATAAGCATATTGTTCTAATAATATTATAAACTGTAATTCAATCATTATTCTCCCGAGTCACATAAATCCATAGCGTTACCTCCGGCTATATAGGCCTCAGAAACTAATTTAATCAATACATTATGAAATTTTTCTTGTTTTGTTTGTTTGTATTTGAAGTCTGGCAGACGTCTTGTTCAGTTATATATACATAGATCCACATAGTTTCGAATAATATTTAACATTATTAACTCTACATATTAGAAGGATATTGGGGTATTAAAGAGATTCTTCTAAATTAAGTAATTGTTTTAAATGATAATTTAATAATTCGTCGTAATGTATTATTTATAGCAAATTTAGTTTTTAATCGTGGCCATTTTTAAATTTTTTAATTGTTAGATAATGGATAAAATTGGCAGTATTCCAGAATTAAAATATTTATCGATATTGTTGAAACTTTCATTAATCAGAAACAATAAAAGTCTAACCTCATTTGCTGCAGTTCAATATAAATGAAAACGTCGGATATCTTAAATATTGACACACAGTTTTTTAAATAAATAAAAAAAGAAACAAAGAAGGTAGTAACGAGACAAAGACTTGGCTCATTCTAATTTGCACATAAATTGCAAGAGCGCAGAAACAATCGACTGTACTTCAACGGTTTTAAGTGATTGCATTCTATATTTTGCGACAGTTTCCAAATGGTAGAATTGATTGAACTGCAGACGTGAAATTCAATTGCACCCTTCTACACAAGGAAATGTGATTAAGAAAAACTATTGCATTAATGAAAGTAAATTGCAACAAATAATAGACGTCCGGATATTATGTAAATATGCACTTATGTGTATATGTATATTAAGTATAATTACTTGATGATTGTGTAAAAATGCAAATAAAATATCGTAATTCAGATTTAGAACGATTTACGATCGTAAGAAATGTGATAATTATTCAGATAGAATCTAATAGATTCTGCTTCAGTACATTCAGCGAAAATGATTATTTAGATAATTCTGTTATGTTATACGGAATGAATCGCTGTATTAATGGATCATTGGCTAGAAGTATTTGCTGTAGATTATCCGGAGGAGTCTCGGATCAATTTTCAGTTAACCTCGCCAATGTCATCAGCTTGTCTAGAGAACTTGGAAATTTAGCAATACGTCTAGACTTGATAAAAGAAAGAAATCCTATAATTCTGTCGCGATTACATAAAATAATGACGTTCAGAATCGCGACACAGTTTATCGGGAGCATTAATTAAGCATGCTTGATTAAATCTTATCACGAAGTAAATAGTAATAATTATAATAATTTTTGGACAGAAATATAAAATGTCGAATTTAAAAATAGAACTTATTTTTTATTAGGCCTACTAATAATAAGGAATGAAAACGATGACTAATTTTGTTAATTCAATTTATTACATGTAAAAATATCTGTCTAGTTGGTCGTATTATTTTGGTACATTGACTGGGTTGAGTAGAATTAAAAATGAAAATATTTAAAAAATATATTATAAAATAATTTTTAAACACTTTAGCTTATAGGCTGGTTAATAATAACGGAGATATATAGAATTCTAAAATAGTCTAAACTAATTACTGTGCAGTACATATAAGTAAGATATAATTATTTTTTAAATATTTAAAAATTCACCCTGAACTTGGAATTATAAAAAATTAAATTAATAAAATGAAAATTAACTTACGACATTAAAATTTATCTTGTTAAGATTTTAATAATATTATAACAGAATAAAATAAGTTTGCAAAGCGTGACATGAAAATTCGCCTTACCTCTAAAGTACAGTTTAATTCAAATTCCACGGAAAAGCTTTTAATTATTTTATAAATTAGAAAATTTTTTAAATTGTTTTCGTGCAGAAAAATTACTTTTTTAAACGCATTACACAAGAAAAAAAATTTTTTTTTTTCNGTTGTTATGCGCTCTTGGCATACTTCAGTATTCAAATAATAACAACAATGTGTATATGTACTTATTTTTTGAAAGATATAGCATTTTCATGTATTTGACATTATAAATATTTACAATTCCTTAAACACATCTGAATAATTTGCATTGTAAATTATTACATTTTCCACACGTTGTCCATTTAATATAAAAAAATTATTGGTTAAACATTTTGTTCTTACCAGGTTTTTTAGAAATTACGTTTGAAGTTTAGAGTATACGATATTTTGCATTTAAATTATTATTCTATATTATGTAATTATGCGATATTAATTTAAAGATAGTAAATATTTTATAATTTTTTTTTTAATATTTAAAAATAATTTTATCGTTCTGGCTCTACTGTACAGCCAAAATGATCAGATTGTTGAAAATATCAAGAATTATTATTTATTTATTTTTATACTCGCGACAATGTTATTTAAAACACGAGCGACGCCAGTTTAATATTTATATTTTTAATTTTATTGCCGGTCTGATTTTCTTCTACTACTTATGAATTTGTTCCCCAACCTTGGGGAGAAAAAGCAGATCGGATGATTTACTCGTCTCAAGTGAATAGTGACGGTCACGATCGCATGTTTCCTCCTGAGTGCTGCCATACATCATGGAGCGGTAAGAAGAAGCTGGCGTTAGCGTTGACAGATCTTGTCAAATCCCTCCTCAATCCCTAGCGTGAAGAACAAGAAGGGAGCACCATCGGCATCCCACTGTCTTTCTCATAAATGATGGCAACGTATTATCAAAATACGAAATCATATCTAACAATAACTACATAATAAGAGGAACAAGAAGAAAAAATTTAAAATTATTACAAATTGATGATGATAAATTCGTTTCCAACAAATAAAGGCTTGTGTGAAAGATATTTGTTTATTCCAACATATGTTAATAATGTGCCAAATATATACAAATTATTTTTTTTATATCAAATATGTCCGTTGTTAACTAGCCTATTAAGCTGTTCACATCAATAGTATTATACTTAATATATAACAGTACTCTTGAACACTTAACAGTTGTTTACATTTGAAACGTTCTTCTGAAAAAAGAATAAATTTCCGGATGTAATTATTACGTACATTTTTTTTTTTTTACAAAAACATTTTCGTTAAGCATTCGTGAATGGCAAAATTATTTTTTGTTATAACTTAATTCCATTTATTTATATGTTTTTAATTTTGAGATTGGAGAAAAATTGTATTCTCGTTTCTAGTGTTGGTGATATTGCTGTAAATATGAATTAGATGGTGATGATTTAGAAAAATATATATAATATATGCAAGTATCAATAAATAAAATTGATATTAACTTTGATTTCAAGTATAATTTAAGAATTATGAAATGTAAACGTTCGACCATTCGGCGATAGGTCATTTGTGCATATTTGATTTAATAGATTTACGCTTTATTTGTGAACAGATTTATAGAATTGGCAGTTACTTGTTAAAAGGTTAAATCATTTGATTGTTTTTCATTCGTTCTACGTGGCTGAATCTCAATGGCGCCTGTCAGCCGCATTCATCTGTTCCGCTACCTTTGTTTCATCGGCTTACAGAAACTCCGAAGTCATTAATAGAGTCTTTCCGGGAAAGTTGTCCCTTCCATCAATCAGACCACCCCTCCGATGAAGAGTGCAATCTATCCGTGGGGATTTTTATCACTTAGGGCAGAATGCAGCCCCCGACATCTCTGTTACGTATTAATGTCGATTGACGGCTCTCTGCCCCCTTTGAGGATTAGAATCAATCGGACAAATTTCCTCAATGGATCGATTTGACCAGAGAAATCAATTTTGACTCAAGGCTACGAGCGTTTGAAGTTCACCGCAGATTCCGTAGAAATGACCGAATTCTAGGTTCCCTTTATTTAAAAAAAGTACAAGAAACAATAATCCATGTTCATTTTTGATACCTCCTGGAATTGCCTTGTTTGTTGATTTGTTCGTGTTATGTATCTGACTCTTGTTTCTTTATCTTTCTTTTCAGTGCGATAGTGAGAGTGACAGTGATAGGGTAAGTCCGTTTCTCTTTTTCTCTCTCCCCCTCCCTCCCTCCCTCTCTCTCTCTCTCTTTTTTTTTTTTTTTTTTATTTCCTACTAGGCTTATAGCGTCGGATAGCCAGTCTGACTCTTTTCCAATATATCTCGGACAGGGAACAATTGTTCTTCCAATCTCTTTGGCCATCAAAAAAACCCCACTGGCTTTCCGACCATCTGTAACCAGCGATTGTTTGGATGTAGTCAAAGGGACTATTCGTCCTCAGGTAAGTTCAATGGACATTGACCTCTATGCCAGCCTAAGGTGATTGATAGAATTTTAATATTTATTTATGTTTATATCATATTTAACAAATATCGTTAATTAAAATTTTTAATGAGTAATTCATCTGTTTAATTTACACATCCGGGATGAAGTTATAAAGTAATACGTATTTTTGGATATCAAAATTAAATTAAAGTGTTTAAAAATTTAAATTATTTAAAAATAAAATTTTTATAATTAAAATTACAACTTTTCTGCAACTGTAATTATTGTTATTTTTGTTAACAGATTGATGAACATATTTATAGAATTTTATCATCATTGAATTTATACTTTATTTATAAAAATATTCATTATACGAAGAGTATTCGAAACTTAAAACCGAATGGAAAATATTACCTAGTTTTAATATAAATAATTTAAATATTAAATTTAAGTTTTAGATGCGAAATGAGTGATTTTTGGGTACCGGGTATCATATAAAAGTCGAATCAGTTTTCATAGTAATTTTTCGAACGATCCGTTTTATTGGATCGATTATTTAATTTCAATATTACAAAGAAAACAATGTTTGGAGAATCGAATTTTTTTTTTGTTTTCGAGCATTTTCAATCAAGAGAGAATAGCGTCATTCTGGTTAGAGGGAAGACAACCAAACCGAATTACCTTTTGCTGTTAACGTAGTTTGCGGTCGTGTGACATGAAGTCTTCTAATGACCGCAGTCCGAGTTAAAAACTTCATGAGTCCTAATGGCTGTGATTTTCTTCTCTCTCGGTTCGCTAATGGTCGGGTAACGAGATTCTAGATTGATGGCTTAGCTTCTCTCTCTAATTTCTATCGCAAGGTGGCGTGACTGTTTTTGATTTTTCTCTTTGTTCGCGCACACGAGAATATAAACATTAGAAGTTAGAAAATATTGAGACGTACAATTACAGTTAATATTTTATACTAATCGCTTTCCTTGAAATATTTCTATGTATCTACCAATCTAGAATCATGCGTAGTGGCTGTACTAGTAGTTGCGTTTCTGTTTTGTTTCTAATTAAAATAATAATAGATTGATTAAATACGCAATTTATTCACTGTTTATTAAAAAGAAGTAATTCGAATTTATGTTTTACTAAATTTAATATTCGAGACATTTTGAATTGTCAGAACCCACTACGAGGAACAATAAAAATTCTTTTACGCGATACTTTTCATGCCAACATAATTGGAAAAAAAGTTTTGAAGCAAAATTCGTAATGAACTATACATAAAATTGTTTTCGTTTTTCAATAAGAATTTTGGTTTTTATTCGAATTTAAAATATATATATATATATATAGGCTATATAAAAGTATAGTAAACTATAAATTCAATGCTTTTCAAAGTTATGTTCACAGTATTTTTTGTTTTATTTTTTTCCCCATTTTCACTATTTTTGTGAAATTAAATAAAAATAGTTATAAAACGAAAAGGACGGAGTTTAAATGCATTTATTTATTTTAAATTTTAGACTGATGTAATAAGATAAATAAATACAATAACAAACTTTGTTTCTAATCGTTGCGAATAAATGGGTTTGTGGGCCGTTCTCGAGTAATTTCCCGACTCGATTTGCATTGCCAGTCCACCCCTGGCACTAAGTATTTAAATAACGATGAAAAAACGATAGTAATAAAATAACATGTTGTTAAAATACTTTAAAGACTTTTTGAAATAGTTCTATTAACTTAATATATAAAATTATGAAATTTTTTATGCAAAATCTCCTGGCGGTCCAGTAATAAACTGTTTGGCGATCAGCACTAGTCCTTGGACCACAATTTGAGTAACACTGACTTAAAATGGTGTTTATTTAGGCTACGTAATATCCAAACTTGTAATATTCATTGAAATAATTCTCTATCCCTCCTTAAACAGAAAATTGTTTTAGTTTGCGCTTTTAACAAAGCATATTTTAGTAGTATTGTTATATTTTATTTGAGGTATTTGTTCGATATAGGCCTATACCTTAATGTTTTGAGATGGAAAATTGGAATTTTTATAGAATTGTTAGGGACTAGCATAGATTTGGTTTGTAAGTTTGGTCGGAATCAAAAATTAAGAATAATTACAAAAATTCTAATTTTACGATAATTATATAAATACATAAAATCAATAAGAATAATTTAATCTGAATTTTGAATAATTTATTTATTTATGAATTATAGAATAATAAAGTGGTTTGAAGAAATTCGATACGCTTGCTTCTTTGAGATTTCGTTTATTTTATTCATATATAATTTTTATTTCTTCATTTATTTACGTCATAATTGAAATATTATACTTGATATTTAATTCTGCATAAGAAATAAAAGTAATTTTATGGAGTTAGTGGACAATTTAAAAGAACTATCGTAGTTGATTCGGTTTGAATAAATGTAGTTAAATTAAAAATTTTTCTATTCTTTTTGGAAATTTTAAGCCGTCTTTTCTATAAAAATTTCTTGTAGGATGATCATTTTTCTCTAGTTTCCAAGGCAACTATTTTCGTCTCATTTGCCTGCAGAAAAAGTTCGACGTGTTACTATTTACTTCCCTCACGACCTCACGTCCGATGAACAGACAGATTCAGAGCTTTAGAAGTAGTGATGTCTTCTCTCCTTTTATTCACATTTCACTTCAGAGCAATTTTCTTCTCCTTTTATATTCTTGACATGTTCCAGCACATTGAATGTTGGTAGTGCAGTGACATTGAAATAGGCCCGCATAACATTCAATATAATGTAGGCATATTTATAGAAGTTTGATGTATCAAATATATATATATTTCTTTTTTTTTTGTAGCGATAGGAATATCTTTATAATAATATACACTTATTATTTTTAAAATTATAAATGTAGCATTTTTAATTAATCCTACATAATCATTCCTTTGTACGTCTGAAAATATTATTGCACTGTAATTAAATACAGTATTTACAATTAAATTTCGTGAGCCCTCCTCTGACATGAAAAGAGGAAAATTATGCAAGCTTAAATTTTCTCACCTGTTTAAAGATTTAAACAATTGTTAGTTTGTTTCAAATGGCAGGTGAACACACCATTTACGTTTTACTTTGTTGAAAATTCTACATTACAGATGTTTCATTCATTAATGAACTGTTCTTTCGCATTGGAATTGCAGTTTAGAATATAAATTTCGATTTTAGAGTCTCTCAGAATTAATTTAGTCTTATTGGGAAATATTTTCATGCGTTTTTATTTCAAGTTATTCAAATGTTTCTTAAGATGGCAAATATAATTAAAGAAATTAAGATATACTTCTCATCTTTTATTCTTACTGTTAGATTTACCCTGTTGTTAACTGAATTGATATTCCTTATATTTTGTTTAAGGAAGAATATGATTTTTTAAACACTGTTTTATTTTTTCATAAAAAAATTTAATTTCTTTATTATTAAATTAAGAAAATCATTTTTTATAATTGTTATTTGTCGAAGATAAATTCAGAAATTGAAAGTAGTTTACTGAAATTTATTTTTAAAAAAATTCGAAAATTTTAAGTTATATCCTATATCGATGTTTAGCTTTTGATTTAACTATATTCAGTATCTGTCAGTAGGGATTTGGTAGATTTTTATGCTAAGTTGAATCATAAGTTAAGAGCACAAATGCTCCGAATCGAATCATGATTTTACAGAGAAATTTCTAAGTTCATCATAGGGATTAAATTGAGATTAACTGGAAAATGTTCATAATGAGCAGAAAGAGAAATAATGTGAAGAAGCAAGTGGGTACAGAACACGTAATAGTAAGTATCGTACACCATTAATTAAGAAGATCATTTATCATTTAAATTGGGCTCTCCTACACATCATTTTCTCAGTTAATGATAAATGTTTCAATTCATCTTCCATTCCTTTCACACAAATAGTTTTAGGCGCACTGTGTTGTTAAAACGAGAGTTTTAATAAGAACAGTAAATCGAAATTGAATTTAAATCTTTACGCTATTCGTATTTCTTATACTCCATTAGTCAAATTTTGTTGTTTTCATTATTTATTATTTCCACGCGGTATAGAATATACATTCTGGTGTTCAAGGATGCAATTGGAATCATTTTCCTTCTTTATATGTCATAATTGTTAGAGGTTCCCTTCTAATAAGTAAAATTGAGATTCGCAGATAGAGCTCTTATTTTTATTTTTGGTCCTCTTAGTGTTTACATAGCAAAAAGATTGCTTTGTGAACACTGAGAGGATTTTTTTTTCTACATTTATCGTGTAAAAAAGTTCTTGAACCGTTCTAAAATAATTTTTAAAAATCTTTTTTCATTAATTTTTAAAATATTCGATTATCATAATTAAAAGCACGGTGTCCATTTCACCTCACATGGAAACTGAGTATGATCCACTCACCCTTATATTGGGGAGAAATAGAGGAAATGACAATATCGTCACTTTCAGTAGAAATATTAGATGTTTGCGAATTATAGTCTTTCAGTCACTAGTTAGAATTTATTATGGTCTTTCAATCATATCTTACTGATGTTTAAATCAATTTTTCAGGTAGTTTTACATGATGATTTAGGATTAACAGGATAATATCTTAAGGAAAGTTAATCGTTAGCATTCTTTGATTCTAAAGAAATAACACATTATTTTTCAGAATTTAAATCCAGTTTTCTATTTGGTATATTCTATAAATTATAACATAAATAATTCTTCTGTTAATAAGTGAGAATTTTTCTAAAATCTCCATTCATTATGTATTAATATCAACTCAGTAATGTTTAATACGATAGTTATTTCCTTAATTATTAATATGGAATAATTAGAATTGTAAGTAGAATGTCATCTGATCATTGCAGGAAATTGTTCATTTTGATATTAAGTCAATGTCAAGTCATATATCAGTAATTTTAAACGGATAGACTTATTAGTTCCATGCATCCAATAATAATAAAATATGATATAGAATTCAAGTAATATTTCTCAGTGTCTGCAATATATGATCCTTCGTGTACTTCTGAATGCTAAATTTTAATTTATTATAAAATTTTGATAATTAAAAAGTTTTGAAAAAGATAAAACTTTAAATTTACTTACAACGGATAAAAATATGAATATTTACGAAGATACGCTTCATTTTTTTTATTGTTAAATTAATAAGTAGAGCATTTTTATATTAATAGTGTTAGAACCTTATATCAATCGTGCGAATAAAT